GCGGCGTGCTCGGGCAGGGCGGGACGCGGCACGCGTTTTGCTTGGGTTGAAGGGGCGGGGGCTGAGGCCCTGGAAAGTAGGGGAAAGGTCGCGGCGGCGGTGGCGGCGGCGGCTGCCGGGGCGCCGGGCGGGCGCAGAGGCTGGTGTAGCTGCCAGGGAAGTCCCGCCGGCCCGGCCAGGGAAGAGGCCCGCCCTAAAAGGGACCGCCTGCAGCCGACCCCATGGAGGGAATCCAGTGGATGACGGGGCCCACCCGGAGGCCTCACACCGGTTTTTGTTTGTTTTTAATTTCTATTAATCTGCCTTTGGTCCTTGTAGTGGACCTCTGAACAGGAAGAGGCTTGGAAGCTGGCTGGTTCTGGGTGACATTCCTTCATCTGCTTGTTCCTGCAGGCACCCGAAGCTTCTCGGCCAGCGTCTTCCACTGACACCCCTGCCCAGGCGTCCCTGGGCCGCAGTTTGCCACTGTCAGTGGGGTCAGGGGCAGCCTGAAAGGCTGATCACCTGAGAGGTGCCTGGTGAAACCTGCCCATTCATCCCAGGCCGGTGGAAACCAGGTCTGCTTGAGAGATCAGGCTGGTACCCACGCACCTTGTATCGTGTGTACTCCGGTTGCACACGTCTCTGACTGTGGTTTACCCACTTCTGCAGTTCTTAGTTCTTGGAGAGCATGTAGTGGATAGAATTATTAACTCCCAAAATTCATCAAAGCTTGAATTGTGTCCCACAAGTTTTATGTATTAGAATCTTAGTCCCCACGGTGACTGTTAAGAGGGTGGGAAATCCTATTATGGTGATTGAAAGGTGGGGCCTTGAAGAGATGATTGGATTGTAGGACCATGCGGTAGTGAATGGGTTAAAAACGGTGGTCGGGGGTGTGGTTCTGAAGGTTTTAAAAGAAGGGGAGAGTCTGTCTCTCTCCACTTCCACCGTCTTGCAGTGTGAGACCCCTGGGTCACTGTCACCACCAGATGGACTTTGCACTTCCCAGCCTTAGACACTGAAAGCAATAAATTTGGGTTTTCTTTCTAAATTACCCAGTTCCAGGTATTTTATTATAAGCGACAGAAACGGACTAATACAGAGCAGGAACTGTGCCGTGTTTGTGTCCCCCCAGCCTGCAGCGCAGCAATGGGACATCCCTCCCTTCATCCACTGAGCCACCGTTTGCTGAGTATTGATGTGGGTTTGCGCAGGGCAAGGTGCAGAGGCTGAGAGAGGAGTCCTGGTCCTTGAAAGCTGTAGCGGGTGAGACTAGACAGAATCCCTGCACCCTGGGGGCTGTGCTGTGAGCCGGAGAAGTCTTGGGCCCGAGGGAACAGGCCTGGCCTCACCAAGCTCACAGGGGCAGGCAGGCAGCCCCTTCACACTGACAAGGAAACACGTGGGGCCCAGGCTTCTGCCACCACTTGTTCCTCACAGGCCCACTATGGTTGGACAGAGGGGTTGAGTAGGCGGAAGAGAGGGTATTTGCTGAAAGAAACGGTAAGCCTTTCTAAAGATGAGTTAACCGTGATTCACAGTCGCTCCGGTGAAGACTTGGGGAGTCTCAAAAGGACATAGGATGTTCTGCACATGAAAAGAGTTAGGTCTTAGCCAAAGACTTGAATATTCTTTTTTTTTTGTCTTTTTTTTCCGTGTCCGGCAACGGATCGCAACCCTCAGTGTTGCCCCCGCACCGGACCGGGGACCGGCAACGGGATTGCAAGCCTCGGTGTTGCTCCCGCGCCTCGCTCAGCCAGTGAGCGGGAGCCGGTCTGTATGTGGGATCCGAACCCTCGGACGGGAGCGCCACCGCGCTTCCCAAGCGGCGCACTATCCAGTGCGCCACCGGGCCGGCCCTGAATATTCTGATTTGTCTGGTCTCCCGCCTTCTAACTGGTCTTCCTTTGTCCACTCCTGCCCCCACAATCTGTTCCCCACGCAGTATCCGGAGAGATCTTTAAACCTTTCAGTGGCTCCCACTGCACTTGGGATAATGTCTACACTCACTGCAGTGGCTTGTTAGCTCCTGCAGGAATCTGTCTCCTCCCGCTCCGGCCTCATCTGCTGTTTCTCTCCCCACAACCCAGTCTATACACCATCAAGGCCTCCTCCTGTTAGTCACATGTCACAACAGCCCCTCTACTGTCCCCAGGGCCTTCCTGTTTCCTGGAATGCTTTTCCCCTGGATGCATTCTGTGCTCTTACCTGTCATCCCCCTGACAGGCCTCCTCCTAAAGTCTAGAGCAGACTGCCAGTTACTCTCTCTCCGTGTCATCTAATTCACTTCCTCTACGTCTTTTGATACATGTTTGTTGTCTGTCTTCCCACTTCCACCTTCAGGAACCTCCCAAGGCCAGCAAGCTTCTCTGTCTAGTTTGTGTAGGCACACAGTAACTGTTGGTTGAATGAGTGAATGAAGGTGAAAACCTACTGGCCTCCCTGCTGGGACATCCCACAGGCACCTCTAATCCAGTGTTTTTGACATTGAACTTGTATTCTACCTGAGTCTGGATTTCTCACCTTCATGGAGGCCACCACTAGATACTCTGTTTCTTGATCTAGAAAGCTGAGTCACCTTTGACTCCTCTCTTTCTTGCACTTATTCCTTTTACCAATATTTCATGCCCTTTTTCCTCCTAAGTATCTCTCAAACTGTCCCTGTCACTCATTGCTGCCCTTGTCCAAGCCACGATCCGGGCCCATCTGAATTAATGCCACTGTCTCTCAGTGGGTCGCCCTACCTCCACCTACAATCTGCCTCTCACTGTGAGAATGATTCAAACCCTAAGTTGGAATTCAAAAAGCTATGGGACTGAATCTGCACTACTTAGTCAGGAATCTATGACTCTTCCTAACCGGGCTCCAGCCAGTGCTTCCTGTATCTTTTCCGACCAGTTCCCCAGATTGCTTTCCCTTTAGCCTTCAGTGCCCCTACTGTCATGTCAAGTCCACTCTCTTCTGCTTTGCAGGTGGTGTTTATTCTGCCTGGAACATCCCAACCATTGTCTGCTTTGACTAAAAGACTGCAGTGTGATTCCTCAGTGAAGCTATCCCTGAGTCCCCCAAACAGCAGGACACCTCTGTGGAAGGCAGTGTGCTTGGACTTCAGAGTCAGACCTGGATCCAAATCCCTGCTCTGCAGCATGACCTTGGCCAAGTCCTGCAGCCTGCATTTGCCTCATTCCTGCAGAACAGGAGGTGGCAACAGCTCTCCCAAGACCTGAAGCTCTAGCTTCTCTTGCCCCAGGCTCTGTTTCTGGTCCCTGGACAGCAGGAATACGTGGACACGTGGGTAGGAGGCTGGCTCAGGGCTCTTCATGTGTAAGCCCCTGTTCTGTCCATGTCGAGCCCATCTTCCAGACAGATAGGCAGGCTGTAGTTGCTGCCAAACCCCTGATTCTGGCCCTGCTCATAGTTAGAGCAATATTGACGTGTTTGTAAGCTAAAGACAGTTGCAAGTCATTCACTC